AACCGCTAATATAAATAGAACATAGATCATTTACAGAATGCATCCGATGACATACAATCAAGCTAAGAATTGTGGTTAACCGACCCTAACCCTAAATAATGGTGAGTGCACATTTGGCTGAATAGCGGAATGCTGAGCGAAAACACGTTTCACAAGGACACACAAACGCACAGTGTACGCGCAGCGTTCACCAACAGCCGCTTGGGTTGTTTTCAAGAACAAATCTTGCCAAACAGAGGAACTGACGCGTGAGCACAAATGCATCTTAAACAAGTTGCTGTGCAAAACTTTATCCTGCATGCGTGTTACACAGGGCATTAATGTGCCATCTGTGGCTAAATTGGAAAGAGGATGAACGAAATCCCTAAAAGAACAAAATGTATTCTGCGTCAACAGAGAACCATAGCGGCTGCCACGGTGACGTGCGGGATAACCGCGATATGGGGCCCCCCGTTAGGACAAAAAAGGAGGGGTGGGGGGCCGGGGGGCCCTCTGCTTACCGTGAACCAGCCGTTTCATGTCATTGTAGCGAGTCCACAGGTACGAGATCTGATCCACTGGAGCTGCGGTGGACGTGAAAGAGCGTCTCCTCACACCACAGACACCAGGAGCACCCAGCGGCTCCTTGGCTCGCTTCTTGTCCCCAGCCGTGCATCTGTGAAGTGGATCGCTGGGTGACGGAGCGTCGCCAATTGGTCTGTCCGAATCTGAGCCGCAACTTTCCTCTTTTGTCCCGTCGCGGCCCTGCTTTTTTCCTCCAGAGATCCTGCATGTGGTACAAAGTCTGTTCACTCTAGGGGATCTGGCCAGAGGAGGGGTCTTGTTTCCTCTTGCCCATAATGTACGTGTTAATGTGCCCACTGTTTTAAAAGACATTTTTACGACGCGTTATAATTACCATTCCTAAAAACCTCTGCCAGCTTGCCACTGGAAGCTGAGGCTAGCAAACAGATAAACATATACCCTCGTTTTCACTGTGGCCACGCCCCGGGGCGAGAGGCCCTCCATTTAAAGGGGAGGTACTCCGACTCCTGCAGCCAATCAGAAGCGCGGAACTCTCTGTATCTGTGATCAAATTCTCATGAGAAAACATGTTGTCAGCGTGACTTCTGTGTGTTTTCTTTAAGTTGCAGTCACATCTTGTTCTTTGGTTTGTGCTTTGTGGTAAATGGGTGTTCTGCCACACATCCTCTCTGAGAGCTGGGCATTGTTTTTGGACAGTGTGCATTTTAAACTAAACGAGGTTTTGTTGTCTTGGCGGAAATCTTTACAAAAAAACAACTAAGTAAAATCCCTGCAGGAAAACGTTTTTCCGCACAAGCGTGCAGCTCTATGAGTATTTGGTGTATTTTAGTTTCGTGGTGTGCGGGGATATGCCTCAATTGCATGTGCAAATGCCTCATTTATGCTCTTCGAGGGAAGAAAATGTGAGAAACTTTAGTAAAACAAACACACAAAAAAAGTTGCAATACATAGTATTTGGATAAATGCGGCATTTATATGTTTTCTTGAAGTTTCCCGCGGACAGTTAACTGCAAAAACAAAATGCATATTTGATTTTTAAAATGCAAACTTTCTCTTCAAAACCAGAGCATTAGAACTAATATTTTCCAAAGTCTTACATTTTAAAGAAACTTGCAACTGAAGCAATAGGATAAACATGGATACGTGTGAATATTTCCTTCTGTTCTGTTCTAGAGTTCGCAGAGACTTTTAGTGGAGCAGAACAAAGAAAAAAAAAAGAGGGGGAGGCCCCTCTTGTGCTTGGACTATGATGAGTCACTCTTGGACAAGTATACAGAGGCCTGCTGTAGCTTTTGTAAAGAGTGCTGTAGACCAAAAGGCACAAACGTGAGTTGAACAGTGATGCACAGTGGTTCAGAGCTAAGCCAGAAAAGAAAAAAGGTTGGTGAGGAGCCTTAAGGAAAATTACAGGTTTAGCAAGATAGCGAGAGAGGTTTAGTGAATGTAGATGACAGCTTCTGTCATCGACTTCAAACATAAAGACCTCAAGTCCACTGACAACTTGCCAAATGATCTTAATGTGTCTGTTATTGGTTTGAAAAACTAAAAAGGCCGTCTTGGCACCACCCACTGTGACACCCACCATTCTCTCAAGTCCGGCTGCCGTTAATCTGCGCAACTCAGAGGCCCTTCCTCCCCTATCACAATAAAGACTTTCTTCATTCTTACGAGTGACAAGAGCCAGTTCAAAAGGTTAGAACCCCTGTAAATACCATAAAGAGACAAGCAGTCTCTGCCTCCAGCTTATGTTGACCTGAACACTACGGTGTAGAGAGTCATGTGCAATACCTCACCAGCGCAAGGCCTCTACTATCACCCCCATCCCCAAAAAACAAAGATCACAAGACTACACCCTGACATCTGGATCAGGGTGTAACTGGAGACCTGCATATCCTTGGCTGTGTTGAGAAGGTGATTGGCTGCAATCTGCCACCGCTGCTTGACCTGTGAGCGCCCAGGACCCCGAGGCAAACAGGAAGGATTGCTGTTTTTCAGTCCCACCTTAACATACACTTTCTGAAGACTTCTGCATTCCATCCAGATAAAAACGCCACACTGTTCACACATAAGCTGATTTACTGTGCTTGTTACTTTTTACTTTAATGGAAAATGGTAACTGAACACCACAAAAACCAGAACGCAACCCAAAAAACAGTTCATGTGTGGTTTAAAGACACTGTTGTTCCAAAACCAGAGGAATTTCAAAAAAGGGCCACACAAATGAAGAGAAGCAAAAGCCATTTTGACAACAAGAGAAATCTTGGGAAGCACTTGGATTAAGCAAGTGCAGAAAGTGACAGGATTAAATTTGCGTTCTCTCATTCCTCTATTACATAACCTCTGTGTGTGAGCTTAAGTACTGACATCCTGGACCCTGTTTATCATTTAATCTCTATATTTATTTGCCTTATTTCTCTCTCAGAACACATGCGCTGCTTGCTTTCCTGTATAGATTTTCTATATAAACAGCCTCTTTACTTGTCCTAACTTCTCACACAGAGTTCTGGAAACTTGTTCTGCGGGTGGGCCTTGAATACACACTCCAGCTGAAAATACTGGAAAGTCTGCTGCCATATATGCATCTCCATCCTTGAGGAAATCATCTGTAAGAGATTAGGAAACTTGATTGCCTGTTGTTTCTAATTAGTTCTGATGAGTTCTAGATTTAAATCTGACTTAAAAGTAACTACAGGACTACAGGTTATTCGAGTCCAAGATACATATAGTTAACTAAACTAAACTAAAATAAGAGGTGAACTTTAGAACTTGAGGAGAAGAAACAACATTGTATACTTACAAAACTAATCAAAATATAATGGAAGCATAAATGGAAATGTGTTTAGGTTTTGTCTTTTTCAGTTTGGTCAAATTTGTCAATATGACAAATATATTTGTGCTGTAATTTCTCTTCAGAACCTCTTAAATCTTACCCTAAATATTATGATTCCTCCCCACTTATCTACTTTACAGTCTAAGGGGCGCTGGAGCCTATCGTAGATCTCACAGGGTGAGAGGAAGGGTAGGCACAGAGTGAACAAATCGCCAGTCTGTCGCAGGGCTAACACAGAAAGGCAATCATTTACACCTACTGAAGAATCACCAATTAATCTAACATGCATGTCCTCATGCCTGTGGGAGAAATCCTGAGTACCTGAAGGGATGGGCTCTCTCCAGGTGCAGGTACACGGAGAACACGCAAACTCCACACATGAAGGTACCTCATATATGCGAAGCTTGCCGATAGATTGAAACTCACGGCTTTCTCTCTGTGAGGAAAGCGTGCAAACCACTAGATAATCAAACCTATAGAAAAATAGCTACAATAGCTGTGGGTGAGAGATATTAAGTTAAATGTGTACAATTTAATTCTTTGCTTTAGTTTTAATATAATTTATGTACTATTGTGTTTTTTAATTACTCTTTTCTTGAAGATGACTTTTACTCTAATATCTTGCTATTTTTATTAGTTCGTGTTTTCATGAAGTTGGTGTGTTTGTACTGTGAAGTGGAGTTTCTCAACAAACTGCAGAAAAAATCTGCACAAAAGAATCATGTCCAGACCAATCCCACCACCCCCTTCTTTCTGACATTAGTCAAACTAGCCAGAAGAGCTTCATGACTCTATGACCAAACTTTATTGCGCAGCATGCTGCATTATTCAGCTGTCTAGGCTTAGATTTTCAAATGAGAACTTACTGGGAATACCACCTACAAAACCACAAAAATTAACCACAAACCAATATCCTGCTGTATTTGCAATGTAATAAACTGACAGGATATACGTGCATGCAGGCATGTGAAAAGGAACACTTTTACAAGACTATGGAAAGTCCTGTGAAAAGCTATGTGGGGCATGCTCCTGTTTCCATAGGAATTGAAAGACTTGAATTCAAAGAAAGAATTGAAAACAGCTGCAAGGCACTGTTAATGAGATACACACAATTAATCACCAAGTGTGACCATCTCTATAAAAGCAGAAGTTATGGCAGTTTGCAGGACTGAGCATTACACAGATCATCAGACTGTGCACTTCCCAGAGAAACTGCAAAAAAAAAAACAAACCCCAAGAGCAACAGCTTTGACTCTACAGAGTGTTAGCAATGACTTACTGCATGACAGCTTAATTAGGGAAAGACTGAACAGGTATGACTTGTTTGGAAGGACAGCCAAAAGAAAGCATCTTCTCTCTAATTAGAACAAAGCAGTATGGGTTAGGTTTGTAAAGCTACATCTGAAAAAACAAGACTTCTGGAGCAATCTACTGTAGATGGATACCAAAATGGAGACATCTGCCCACAATGCCCAGCATCACATATCAGCACCATGACATGGTAGTGTCAATTCATAATTCAACTACAAACTATTGAATTATGGGGTGTACTTCGTTTTTCACAGGACTGCACAGACTCCTTTCCCCCATAAGTGTAGTATAAGAAAAATACAAAAGTCACTCAATCAAAACCATGAGCACTATACGGTGTTGGCTTGTTTTTATTCTTCATGACAAAAGTGGATAGAAGGTCAATGAAAGGTCAACTTTGCATACACATAAAAAGTTGAGGACCTCAAATGTGTTATGTGGAGTGTGTGCTTGTCAACAATTTACACAGAATGCCGACCACATAAATACAGTTAAAATATTATACAAGAGTGGCAATTAAATTATACACACATCTGCACAGAGTGACTTAAATCAATTTACAACCTTCAGTGTGAAAATGACATTATGTTAAAGTATTTTCACTTTTTAGCCAGAGTGTGTGGACATAACTTCAATAAATAAATGGAGGAGCTACCCCGGCAGTCTACAATCTTTGATACACTAGGTCCAAATGTATTCAGAATATTAAAAGAAAGTTCAGTAGTTGTAACAGTTGTCTGAAATATCAATCAGCTTGATTCATTTAAGTTATTACTTAATTCTTAATGAGGTAACATGATTAATAAATACAAGGCATGCTAGCTAAAAAGTGAAAATACTTAACCAAAATGAGATATCACTTTTTCAGTGCTAACCCTGCTCAGTGAGTTTATTTAAAATAATTAAAACATTAAAAAAAAAAATACAACTACAGTGTTGAACTTTAGTCTCCATTTAGAAAATGTGATACTTTCTGAAACAGCAGACAAGACCAAAATCAAGGCACAAAAAACCAAACCAAAACAAAACACCAGCTAACCAAAAATAAAACCCCATCAGCAGGATGCGGCTTCTTCTAGTAAATTAGTAAGAGGGAAGTTGAGTTTTAGTAAGTGTCAACATTTTCTAGTATTAATTTCTCTGTTTTCAAACAGCTTTTCCCAAATGCGATTGAAAGGACCACGATTGGTCGCGTTAAGTCAGTTTAATACATTGTAAGTTGCCTTCAGTGAAAAAAAGGTGAGGTTACAGTGCCAATGTCAACCTGTGCAATGCTGTCTTCAAGTCAAAGTCCATACATCATACTGCTCTTTAAGCAGTCCCTTTAGAGGTATCAAGTGACACATGTACATTTACATGCTATTCTTCATTGCAATCCTTTAGCAAAGCAGTGTCATGTCTGAGTTCCCACACACTTTAAATGAAGCGGCTTTTTCAGATTTATTTATTCTTGATTCTAAGCCATAATGTGCAAATAGATGCAAACTTCAATGTAATGCTTTTTAAATGATTGGGTATCAGTATTTATTTCTACTTTCTATAAGCAGCAACCCCAGCAATACCTGGTATTAGCATTTCAAACTGAAAACAACACATGCTGTAGAGAAGCAGCCTGCTTGTTGTGGATGATGCTAGGTTATTACTATTCATTTATTTTGGTGGCACAAAAAGCATGATGACATTATGTTATGAAATACAAAACATGAATATTGTAGCTGTTCAAAGGAGCAAAGAGAAAGCAGATATCGAATGGGAAATGTTGTCACAGTAATGAAGAGAAATGACAATGGAGGATTTTACTAAAAGGTTTAGGGGAAACCAGGCCACTTTGTTCTAATGATGTAAGACAGTGACTTCCAAAATCTTCTTATATTAAGAGATGCAAATAGCTGTTGTAAAATAGCTGCAGCCAGCCATTGGTAATGGAAAATGAGGCTAGGTTTCAAAGCCCAAAGCCTAAAACAGTAGATTGTATAGAGGCACTGTCCTGACTTGGTCTGCATAGTTTGCAAAGATGCACATTACAGATTTCCCAAATCATGCATCTCACCACTCAGTGTCTGAACTGAGGTGATGAATGTATGGCTGATATTTTCCATATGAAATGTCATGTTTACTGACCTCTCTTTAAAGGGTGTGCCTGAAATCTAAGAACCAGAAATGGCGTAATAGAAAGAGCATGTAACTGCACCACCAGTAAAAGGAAGAATCTCAAGACAACAATAAGCTCTACTTTTAAGGTAAGACTATTGGTAAGGCTGCAGTGTTCTATAAAAAACTACCTGGGAGAGCTACCACAGATCATCTAATGGTTTACCAACACTAAAAGACGCCAGATGGGCCTGACCATCAAGCCAGACTAAAGGCAAGAATGTAAGACATAGAGCCTTCAGAGAACAGATCATAGCCTTGAATCAAAGTCTGAGGACAGTAAATATTGTACAAGGAGAGTCTCTGAAATAAATACTGCCAATGGTTCAGCACAACACAAAGCCTTGAACAGGACCAGATGGAAGTTGGAACCACTTTGGACAAGACAGGTTATGACTTCACAAAGAAATGAGCAGCACATTTGTCTCTTCATCCTTCTTCGGGCTGCATGCAGGCTTCTCCACTCCAAGCAGAGAAGACCAAAAGGGTGGGATGAGAGCTTTTTTTTGTTTTGTTTTTTTTAAATACTTTTTTTTCCCCCAGTCCACGGTTCTGGTAGGTAGAGTGGGGAATGTAGCATCATATCTGGGATGGACAGGATGTCTCAGGTCAGGGAAGGAGGAGGGAGCCAAGGAGTCAACATGAAGACAGGTCCTTATGGAGAAGAAGGGTTTTGGAGTAATGGGAGGAGTGTTTCAGCGCTACAAAGACAAGGTGAGACAGAGACAAAAAGGAAAAAAAAATATTTAGTTTGACTTAAGAACTTTAAAAAGTTTAGTGGAAAATGGTAAGGGTAAATTATAAGGATAAACAGATCAATACAACATAGAGCACAAAAGGTTAGCAATTTAGGGGTGATCAGTTAAAATAAGCAAAAATCTTAACCAAACTAAACACTAACCCTAAACTAAAGCTGTGCAAAAACAAGATTGTTCAAGATAAAAGCAAGCAATGAGAAGGTATTTGATCAAAGTTGTTTGTTTGTTTGTTTGGTCTGTTATGCAAACAGCATAACAATTCACATGTTAGGAAATATGAAGATGGAGTCTTGGCGCTGGAAGTACGCTTTCAATTTTGGAAAAGCCTTTTTAAAAACTGCTAACGTTGAAGCATGTGTTCTTTCAGTGCCCTCTAGTTCATTGATATCAATGATAGTTTATTAGTCTCTTATTTAAAACTTGTTATAGAGAAACACTATATGGACAAAAGAACTGGGCCCTGCACACACTGGACCTACAGGAGCTGCTCTGTAATGGAAACCATTGGCATGATTATCCCAGTACACAGTTATTTTGCCGAGGTTAATGCCAGAGGAGGTTTGGAGTTCGTCAGTTACTGCGTCAACAGAGCATTGGTGACTTTTGTATGCTGTGTTGCTCAGCACTCAGTGAGACCACCTTTACATGGTCAGCCACTTTGTGACTGAGTTGCTTTGGTTCCCAAAAACTTCCACTTTGCAAAAATACCACTTACAGCTAATTGTGGAATATTTAGGAGAAAAGAAATTTCATGAACTCACTTGTTCCAACAGTAGCAACTCATCACAGTTTCTCAAATGTTTGAAAAGGCAGACTGCATGGCTGGGCTGTAATTTACACTCCTGTGGCAATGGGACTGAAAAAACCTGAATTCAGTGTGGTCCAATACTTTTACCAATATAGTGTGTAAACCAGTTCGATAGCTTAGATCTGCTGGCTAATTTACGTTTATTTTTTTATTGTCTCCTTGATGATTTAGAGTGTGAGCTCCGAGCCCTAGAAGATGTAGCTTTATTACCAGAGCTCTTACTGGCATTAGTGTGCAATTCCTCTGTGTTTCTACTTGTAGATGTAAATGATCTTTGTCTAGACTCTCTACAGATTCCAGTCATCCTGGTTCTACTTGCTGAATTGTTAACAGAGTGTGATGTGACTGCCTGGGCCCTTGACGGACTTGAATTGAACTGTGCAGAGTCTGACAGATACGTGTTATGGCATGCTGCTGCTGCTTGTACAGAATTAGACCTGCGACCTGACTGCTTTCTCCTCACAGAAACATCTGATTTAGGGTTTAGATCATGATTTTGTTGGCTTTCACCCCATGCTTCACTGGTGTTAGCATACACACACACCGTTTTAGAAGAGGTTAGTTTATCTATAGAAGAAGAAAACAAAGAAGACTTCAGTCTGGCAGAAGAGGCAGGTACAACACGAGTTGTGATGAAAGTGTCCTGACGTAAAGGGACAGAAGCTCTCCGGACTGATGCTGCCTTTTTTGATTCACTCACATACATTTTAGAGCTTAAATCACTGTTCACAGAACTGGTGGAGCCTTTATAGGTCAGGGAAAAACCACGATTCAACTCTGTGTTACAAACATCACTGACACTATGACTTCTAATAAAGGTGGCATCTCTTTGGAGACCCTTGCTTCCGCGTGAGCGGCTGCTGGTTTGGCTGGAGTTGTCAGGATAAAGAGAAAGAGGGGTTCTTACAGGGCTTGTGTGGAGGCTTCTAGTTAGAGATCGCAGGTGGTGAGTAGCAGGAACGGGGCTAGACCGTGGACTGCTCCTCAATGGAGGCCGGGCGGGACTGCTTCTGGGGCTCCGAGGGGCACGGCCTGACTTGGTAGCAAGCTCTTTGGCCCGAGAGCGACGGGGGCTGCTGTTTAAGCTGTGTGGAGACATAGGGGCCTCCAGGTCCTCCAAACGTTGAGTAAGAGCCAGCTTCTGCTGGATGGCCATACGCAGAAGAGAATTCAGTGTCTTCTTCTCATCCTCAGCAGCAGCTAGCTGCCTCTGCATCTCATCCAGCTGGGTCACATACTGATCACACCTGAGAGATGCAACATGCAGCAAGAAATAAAGCCAGAGGCATAGAAATACATGCTTAACACGACTTATAGTGTGTTAAATGCAAACATCAAACACCAGCAGGGATTGCAACTGAAGATTATTGTTATTATTGGTTAATTTTACAGGCTAACAAATCATTAAAAATATCACAAGTTACAAAAGCAAAAATCTTTTCCCACGGATTATTTTTTGTAGTTAAAATAAATAAATTAACATTGATATCAAACTGAGATAAATAATGTTGGAAAAGCTTCAATTCATTCATTCACTGGCAACTGGGAACGATGCTAACTGGAAAATGTGAAAATGTAAGTAAATAGTAAAAGTATGTTTAAAATGAGTAATACACCCTTATTTTCATATACTGTAGAGATGCACTCATACTAGCTATCCACATGATGGCTCCACTGAACCTGATTCTAAGCAAATATCTTTTTATAAAGCTGTAATCTCTATCCTATTGGAACAGACAGTAGCAGCCCTTCATTACTGGCTCTTCTTCAATCCTTCTTAGGGATAACAACTGTCTGGAAAGGGCCTAGACGGTCTAATACATGGCCAAGAACCTTCTCAGGGCACTTTGGCAACACATAACACAATCACTAAAAACAGAAAATAATAATTAGTGCACTAATACAAATCCCAAATAAAAACACCGCAAAGAAGAGGTTAGTGAGTCAAGTGTTATGATCTGTATGTTTAACTCTTAACATCTTCCCCTTGATAGCATGGTGGTGTTTATAGTCAAACCCAAGTCCTACAAACGTTAAAAGTCTTTCTTAAAGGTGACCTTGCTTGATCACCACCACCCCCCCACCCCGCCCCATTAGCACAGGATAAAGCATGTGGTTTGTAATCTTCACGTGAACTAGTGGATTGTCCATAGGCGTAATAAGCATGGTAAGCTCATTACACGAGTGAAAGCAAAAGCTGTACCTCAGCAAGAGCACAACTAATAAGCCTTAAAACCACTAGTACAGAGCCAAATACAATCCAGTTTTAAGACATTTTAAAGCAGTTTTTTAAATGTTTTAAAAAACTTTATTAAATATATGATTGTGTTATATTTGTCCTCCCTGAGTCAGTAATGTGTTTTGCTTCAAATCACATGAAATGAAAGCTTACCGGCTGGCGAACATGACTCGAAGAGAAGAGAAGGTGGCAGCGTCCTCCTTCAGGGCTTTGAGCTCATTTCGGAGCTTCATCATGGTCTCTGACACCATACTCTTCTCCGTCTCATACTTTGTTTTCAAATTGGATAAGGCCAACTCTGCAGTCTGCAATAACAAAAATATCATTTACTATCAAAATTGGGTTTTAAAAGCATGTTATGATCTGTTGCTGGTATGAAAACACATTATTTAAAATTATGCACTTCTTTTAAAACTAGGAATTCTCTGGAGACACTTGCATGCGATAATAAATGCCGGCCAAGAATTTAGGGTCAAATTCCTTAGATTTGAGTAGCTTCAGTGACAGCTCAACTGTTCCTGTCCTATGTGATTACCAAATTTCCTGTTAAACAGCAATCTCGGTCAGAGTTTTAAAGATCAATGAAAAGAAAAATCACTATTATGAAGAAGGCACAAAATCAATAATATGACTCTATAGTTTAAACACGCTGTATCTTAAGCAAATAGTTTGTTCTAAATCACGTTTGCCCCACTAATGGGATTGCTTTTTACTTATCTGTTCTCCAAATACAAATATCAGTGTAACAATCTCATGTGGAAATGGTTTGATTACATCAGAGGCACCAGTGGACAGCTAATGTCAACAGACTTGAGAAGGAAAACTATTATCAGTGACCACTGGCCCATCAAACAGATTACCTTAAGTGTGCGCATGTGTGTATACAGGACTGACAGTTCAGGTAATGACAGAAACAGGTCATGCAATGCTGAACATAGCACAAAGGGAAGAGGGAAAGAGAGTTCAACCTCTCCTCTGATGTGCTATGTCACATCAGAGGAGAGGCTGATGTACTCAAGGTGGACAATCATGTGGGTCCAGGGGACTGTCTAGACAAGACATTGATGAGGCAGGTCACCCATACTGCTTATGTGAGATTATGCATGGATAATACTCCTGCAAAGTGAGTTATATAACAAGCACGTTTGGCGTCTCCAGTTGGACTGGTCAGTGCTTTCAGCAACATGCTCTCTCACTTGACCTAATTCTCAGTGAGCAGACAATTTTCTGAAGTACTTTTAAATGGGGAAATGCACAACATCAATATAGTTACAGGATTATTTTATTATTGTTGGCTGTATCTGTGAGTAGCAATTGTTTTTCCAACTTTTTTACTTACTCAACCTAACGGGAAGTGCTATGTCAAACTTTTTTTAATGTTATGTTTGCTTTAAATTTACTTGGAGTTGGCACCAAAGTAACAGACAAAAGTAAAAGCAATAGTTAGTGCGGCTGTGTGTTATTATAAATGAGGATAAAAAAAATACTGCGCATGAACTTTGCAAAAAGCAGCTTGCACATCAAAGCTCAGCAATCAACTCAACACTGAAATCTTTTCACAGCAAACCTTTACTTTAAGTGTCATGTTTACTGTCACCAGCAACTTTGAAGTTGCTGGTGACAGTAAACATAAAACCAGCAGCTTTGTCATAATAAGAAAACTGTGTGTTAGAATGAATTTATTTTGCATAATCAATGATAGCAGCAATATTTGTCTGGGTGCTTATTGATACTTAAGTGATGGTGTGTCTGGTACTGTTACTGGGATTTACTGCCAGTCTCCAGTACCAATCCCTGCTTATTATAATAAGGCTAAGCAAAATGCAGTCAGTGGACTGTGGCCAGTTTTAGTTAATCTAAGGATTTGTTGAAAAGCAGATACAATTTCACTCAAGATTTTCATTGGTTGACTAGAGGCCTATTAAGGGTTCCAACATACTTCTATGGTGATCCTACACATAACGTATTATTGTATTCCAGTTGAAGTCAGAAATCTGAATTCCTGAGTTCCCAGTCACAATTTTTCAAAGTCTGAGCATCCCCACCAAGCTTGACTGAACAATCCAAGATGACGGCAATAAATGTAAAGTTAAAAGGTAAAATTGTATAACTTGCAATTTGTTCTGTCACTGCTGTGTATTTACGACTTGCTAATGAAGCCATATGCATAGCTCTGACACAGCACAGCGCAAAGAAAAAAAAAAAAAGGTTAGTAATGCATGAATGACTCGATCTTGCTAAAAAGCAAAAAAAATTCAGCAAAGCAATGAGAAACCGAGTATTACTGGAACACACTTGACTAAGGAGTTACGTCATCCCCAGCTTTTACGTCTGACTCCTGAGATAAACAGAACACAGCATTAGGACAGCTGTGCAGACCAAGGCCTACATGTCGTAACTCTTTACTGTCACCAGAGGGCAGTGTCAGAAACAACTAAGTGAATTTATAAAATATAAAGAGTTGAAGCAAAACAAAGTGTTAAAAACAAACAAACAAACAAAAAGTGTCCACTGCAGCCACCCTCTCTGATTCTTGTGCTGAATTTGTTGATCACTAATTTTTTGTCCTCTCACACTTCTCTTACTTGTGGTGAAAGCAACTCTCAGACAAATAACTAACTGTACCATAAATTAACCCTAACAAGAGATGAGAACTCTTTTATCTTATAACTTATATCTAACACAGACTAATGGTTAAATATTAGCAAAGGCAAGGTTAATTTTCAGACAATCTGTGTAAACCAAGGTAGCTATTCTCAAAATTATGTTCATATAACAAAACAAAAACAAAAAACAATGAAGCCTGCCTTCTATGAGTGAAAGTGGGAAAGTATAGGAAAGCTTGATTTTAATGTCAAGCAGCAAAACTACAAACACTGACCTTAGACACAAAAGAATTAAAGATCAAATGACATTAGTTGGCCTCAATTCTAAACAAGGCTCATTCCAAGAGACCTTTAAGCCCTTTTTCCTTTAGTACTTACTTGGATTGGCTCAACTTGGCTTGATTCGTTTTCATTACAATCGAGTACCACCTAATATGTGTAGGGTCATTATAGCAACATAGCCATGTCCTGTGATGCCACTGACTAACAAATTGGTGGCATGTAGTCTGTTGACGTCACATTTTAGAAATGACTCGGATTGCTTGGAACCCCAGCCAAGTAGATAGTAAAAAAAAGTCCCTGGAAACACTTACTATGACCTAATGGAAAACCCTAAAAATTGCATCAAGCCGTGACAATCAACCCGAATAGGTACTAATTGATAGGGGCCATTACTTATTCATAAATGGGACATACGACTTGTTTCGGACAGTGAATGAGCTACGGTGTGTATCAAGGTGCATTACAGGTGAGGTTAGTATAACTGTCAGTGGTGACAATCATGCTAAATGAGTTTTTCCTCTGTTAAAAAAATAAATTATTTAAATTATTTTTTTTAACATGTATCACCAACCTGACATACACAGGGAGGATGAGATGAAGGCAAAAAAAAGAAAGAAAATGCTTATACAAATGGCATTTGTGTAGATTTAAAGAGAAATAGTATTTCAATATTTGGCATGGTGTTTGTAAAAACATGTTTGTCAGAGTAACAGTGGTAAGTGTGGAAGTTATGTCAATGCTGTACATGAGAATAAACATGACTGGTGACATAACACCATCTACACATATATGAATGGGGCAGTAATTGTAAAGACTGTAGCAAAGGGCTGGTGCCAAACAGCCGATACACTCACAACTTCAGCTCCTTCTGAACTAACACAATACTTCCCTTCACTGAAGATAAAGACAACCATTACAACACAGATACTTGCTTACTGTGACCTACCTGTTTGTTAGCCTTGAGAACAGTCCTGAGGGTAGCAATCTGTTCTCTCTTGGTACTCAGAAGAGACTTGAGTTTTAACACTTCCTCCAAGAGGTTTTCATTGTCCCGCTCTGCCTCTCCACTGCTGCTAAGCCCTGAGTAGGGCACTGCACCCCTCTGACGACAAAGGTCCACTGCCACCTGAGAGAACAGAGACAGATATTTATAAAGGTTAGCACAGTTAGTCTGGCAAATAACATTTCTTATATAACGGGAACAACATTTTGATTAAAAAAAAAAAAAATCTTTATCACAAAATGATCACATTTCTTAACAATAACACTGAAGTGGCAGGAATAAATCTTCAAACATGTAAAAGAGGATTTATTTTTTGTTTGAGAATATGCACTTCTCTAGTTAATAAACTTGTTACCACCCTGTCTTTTCTTTCGGTGTAAAGGAGGTTACAGTTCTACTCTGACCCCTGATAAGCCGCTACATTCAAGGCCACGCACACACGTGTCACTGTAGCCCATGCCAGGCACTGGATTTGTGCAGACATGGGAGCAACTGAACTCTGTTAACAGGCTGAGCAGATTATTAGGTTCAGTGAAACATTTGTAAAGGAGTTAAGGATTTTATCCAGAATAAAAGTTTGTTTTTTAGCATTAGGGTTACAGCAAAAAAGTTTGAGAATTTGCACTGGTTACAAGTTTTAGTTCACAAAGAACTAAGTAGTGTTGGAGTACTACATTAATAAATGTCACAAGAACTACACTTTTGTCTTACCCGAAGATGTTTTATCTGGCAACGGATGACTGCTACTAAGTTGCGAACATTGGAAGGGTCCCTGAAATCTAGGGTGGGGGATCCAGGGCAAGTAGGAGAGTCTCCACTGGTTACAGCACTGTCAACTTCTCCCATAAACTGCAACGCTGCAGCTTTTGAAATGAACATGTCATTGGCTCGAGTCTTCTTTTGGACGCTGTGCTGGGAATAGAGGTGTGATCTTCTGGCGCTGCCTCCTGACCTGGCACCATCACGATAATAGTCCAGGGTGACCCGTTTGGGAGTTAGGTTGTTGCATACACAGATGTGGTGATACAGGTTGGACAGCTCCTCAGAGAAGGCCAGCAGTTCTTCCTGAGCAACACTTAAGTGCCCTTCAGAATCACTTGCTACTTTCCGTGTTGCTCCAATCTCCTTCTCCAGCTCACTGATGCGCTCTTGATCTTGCTTGCTGGACTTGATACACTGACGGATTTTGTCAGCCAGCTCCTGGGCCTCAGCCCTCCAACGCTCCTTCTCTTGCTTGTATCTCTGCTCCAGGGTGTTATAACGTGTTCCTGCCTGAGACAGTTCATCTCGCAGCTTTAGAAGCTCTTCGCTAGCCGTGCGCATACGCGCTTCCAACACCTCCTTGCTCTTGGTGTCTACCTCATAGTCAAATACAGCATTGCCACCATCTTTGTCTGTCTCATTATCTCCTTTGTCATCCACCTCTTGGCTTTGTTGTCGACTACTCTGCACAGCTTCCAGCTGCTGGGTGAGAGAGCCAACCTTGTCTTCTTGCTGACTGAGTGCCTGTCTGGACATTACCAGCTGCATCTGCAGTTCCTCCACCTTGCTAGTCAGGCTGGACTTCTCTCGCTCTGCCTGGATGTACACACAAACATAACATGAGAAGTTTGTAATTATCAACATCAGTTCACAGAACAAGAACAATACTGAATGTTGATTAATTTCAAAACAAAAAGGGAGGTTATAAATGTCTGTGACACACATTTCTCCCCCACCACCTTTACTCATTATAAATTTTTAATGTCAAATAGCGACATCTGTTCAGTAGGAACTTTCAAACCCAGCCTCTTGATTTAAGTGCACCATGAATAATATATTTACATTACATAGAGAGCAATGACAGCTCAAGACATTCTTCATTTTCTGAAGTACCCTTTGGTTTATGAAGCTTTATCAGGTGGGAGCTGGAGAAAGTGCTTGATGGAATACACAATATATATTAATGCTCCTCCTCCATCACAAAACGGATGTGGTCTAGAGCAGGAAGTGGCAGACAGCCCTGCTAACAGCTTAGCACACAGACTAAATTGTATATCCTCCTTACTTAGCACAAAAAAGGTGGTTGCACTTAAAGATAACCAAGCTAGATAACAGCTTTCTATTTTACATATCTACAGTAAATTAACTGTCTAAACCTTTTAAAGGCTTTTAAATTCATATATAAAAGGTCATAAGAAAGCAACATAGCAACAATGCTTAAGTAATTATCAACTTATTGTGTGTTATTTTTCTTAACTCTGTTAAGACTATTAATGGGCACCCAAGCATCTGAGAAACAATGATACCCTAAACCCTATTTCTACTTTTAGTGATATTTGAAACTGACTGTGATGGCTATAGTATTACCACACTAAACTAATGACACTTCTATACCCAAACGTTTGCAAATTCTCGTTACCTCTGTACACAATCCATAAAACGACTTCATTCTCTTAATAACATGTAGGATTGGAGTTGCTTTTTTAGTTCCTTTTAATCATTTGTCCTCGGTGGGATACCACAAAGAAGCATTTGAAAAAAAGGTAAGTTTTTTTCTGTTGCTCACCTGTAGGAGCTGCTGCTTTAGTTTCTGACTGTCTGAAAAGTGTAGCTCACTCAGCAGGTCTGCGACCAGTCCAGAAGCAGGAGCACGAAGTACATCACTGTGGCGTGGGGTGGAGTAGCGATGGATGAGGCCGTTACTTTTGGAGCCACCCAAGTGAGGAGGGTTAGCAGAACTGGAAGAAGATCCAGGACCGTTATTAAAACCGCTGTCCTGATTCTCATCCCCATCCTCCCCTTCACCCTCTCCACCCTGGCCCTCTTCCTGGCTGTCATCCAGCTGCTCCAAATGGAGCTCCAGGTTCCCCACAGAATCAAAGGGGTTAAGGGTCAAGGCAGAGAGTTCCCGCCGCAAACTGTTTTTCTGCTCCCTTTCCTCCTTCAGTGCTTCAAGGGCCTCATCCAGCTGCCTCTCTGCAATCTCCCTCAGTCTTCCAGCTTCCTCCATCTGTCCTCGCAGTTCCTCCTGCTCCTCGTTCTTTTGGGTCAGCTCCAGCTTAATTGATTCAAACTCAACCTGAAATAAGATTAGAAGCAGGACAAGAAGACTTTCTTTGTTACTTTATTCGGCTCATTTAGAATGAATGTAAATTGTATCCCTAACATGCAAATACACTTATCACTGCATTTAGCAAAGTTACACTCACAACCAGACAGCTTCAGTAGGCAAATGAAAACTACGCTGTTTGACTTCATAGTCACCCAAACCAATAATTTTATTATTGATATAGCATAAATGAACAGTCAAAATAAGGTGGATAAAAATGTATCCATTTAGGAATTCTAATAACAATGTTTGCTGGGCTCTTGCTAGAAACACAGTAGCTTTTAGAAGCCTAACTTAAGCTTTACATAAAAGACACATAAAATAATACATGCTTCTTATAAATAGCTATAATATAATATTAAAATTGTCCTTCTATGATTCACAGGCTAAAGATCAGTTAGGGTACGTGTGTTAACATCAAAGGGCCAAATCTGTACAGTCATGGACAATTTTTAGTCTGGCCTGGATATCATTTTAAGTTATTGAGAAATTCTGGTCTGCCAGGCTGTAGCTGTGGTCTTTGCAGGTTAAAAGCTTGCTAACACAGAATGCAACAAAATGAAAGAAAAAAGGAAAGTTTATACTGAGGGCAGACAATTTCAACCAAAGCAAGAAACTGGACAGCTTATGCTTTTACCAAGT